ATTCCACAGATAATCTTTCATTCTCTTCTGTCTTCATTTCGTCCGTCTCATCTTTCTCACCCGAACCACCGCCCACCCATTCCCACGATTCCTGAAAGCAGGCTGAAGAGGGCCTTCCGCCCTACCTTACGGCGTAGTCCGGAGGGACTGCCCGCCCACCACCATTACTAGCTGGTGGGAATGAAACACCCAAAAGTTTTTTTTGTCTTATGGGTTTAAAGAGGTAAACCTAACACATGTATAAACTAACAATTAAATCTGCCTTATGGGGGCCCAATGAGGAAAATCCGGTTGAAAATACTCTCGGTAAAATAAAAAAACTTGGTAATAATCCCCTTGCCCAATTATGTCGTTTCAATGAAATCTTTTACATTTGCAACGAACCAACAAGTGTACTTCCTAATATTATTAAACAACTGAAACTAAACGCATCAAGTCGGACAACAGTAAAATGATTGCAATTTAAAGTATATTATTGACAGTAAAAGAACACAACAAAGAGTAAACAAATAATACATAAATACAAATAAGTGATATATGTATATTTTCCTCCAAATAGAAGTATAAATTGTATTGAAATTTGTGGAAAACTACTACGAAAAAGGAAATTCCTTTACACGTATCCATGCGATGCTGAACATGTAGAAATGTACTTATAGTTTCTTCAAACGATGAAAATATAGGTGTTGATAAAAAAATTGGTTTATCTTAATGTTAGAGACGAAAGTAAAGAAATAATATGTATTATACCGTTGCTACGTATGTAGAAGTGAGCAGTTTCTCATTGGTAAAATATATTTTTCATTCAATATTGTATTTTTTTTATTAATAATTCATTTTTCCAAAAATTTTTAATGGGGTAGCAATAATTTTTCCCCGCGGGGCTACATGCGGTATTCGTGATGATGCGCAAATGCGGCAAAGCGTTATATGCCGTTTCTAACCTTAGGGGGCAACCTCATGGGATCCAAAAAGGGGTAGTGGGTTATCCACTTAGGGACTCTACCTGCATCTCTCTCAAAATTCTAGTCGGAAAATGGTATTTTCAATAAAACCTATTACACTTCTAAGTTATGTGTTTTGGGCGCCCGTCTTGAATAGGTAGGTATGTAATATTTTTGAACTACTTAATAAATTACTTATTTGATAATTATAATCCAAAATGCAAATCATTCTATTTATCATTTGTATATCAAACATCTATTTTTGGGGCCTGCATAAGAGGTTCAAATATTCAGTTCCCTGTTTGTTTCAAATTTAAAAAATTGGTATAAAATGCGTACTTTTATTTTTCGTCCGGCTTTAATATTCAATGTTTGATGTTGATAGTTTCAGGTAAACGAATAACGTTGCTTGTTGGCTACAAAATATGTCAAAGGTTTAATATGAAGCACTGAAATTTCCAATATCAACGAGAGGAAGCGGCAACCGGATCCGTTACTAGGTGACGCCGACTGGAAAGAGACAAAGGCATATTGCAAAACATTATTAAAGTTCCAACGCTCCAGGAATAGGCTCTGATTGATTGACATCATCCTCTTTGAATGAGACATGAAAAACTCCTTACAATTCGCAATAAAATAGGTAAGTTTAGACAAAGTATCTGGTTTGTACATGTACAATACTCGAACGAAGTTCGACGAAAAAATGTATACCTACTAAGGAATAAAAAGAAAAATAATAAAATTTTACGAGATTTGCTACGTCAGTCAAAGTTTGTTTTTGTTCATGGAAATATTAAAAGCACATACATACATACTTACAGTAGAAAAGGTACTTTTTTGGATAATAAAAAAATTCGGATGTAATGGAATTAGGAATAAGACTAGAATTTCAAAGTAACTACCTGGAATATTCTAATGGGGCAACAAGACGAACTGCCTTTGGAAATCTAGATAACTGGCAAATTCGTAAAACAGAGCAAAAATACAAACCAAACTGACTTAAAAGGAGGGAAAAACGAATACATCCGAAAAAACTTGAAGAACAGAGGAGAGTATATGCTTCCAAAAAATGATTGCAACGCATACATACGTAAATGTTTCAGTCGGTAATGCTAAATCCATCAAAGTTGATATACATCAAGCACAATAAACCATCATGAGTTTCGAACGTATTCTAAACGTTTCAATCTTCTCGCTATTCGCAGTTTCAATTGGGTGCAAATTATCCCAAGGGATAGAGGTGATTGGTGATCGAAATACTTATTGGCCTACTGTAGCGGCGTCAAGTCTACTAAATTAAATTCCTTTAGACGTTTAGAGCTCGACTAGGGCACTATCGATGTGTCATTTGCGCGGAAAATTGCTACTTAACCGTTTTACAACTCTGTCTATTGAACACATAACAACAACAACAACTTATCCTTTGAACGTTTTATACTTCCCCTCAATCTAAACCAAGTCATAAATAAGTACTTAATACTCCTATCATCATCATATGGTCGTCAGTCTTGGAAACGCACCTCCATTCATTCCTATCCTGAGTTAATCTTCCCATTTCCCCTAAACTAGAACAAGCCATATCCTTAACAATTTGCGAACAGTAATCTAATCTGGGTTTACTCTTACTCCTCTTAACTCCTGCTTTTGCCTCTAATGTTTTTGACTAGACCTTCATGCCTGAGAAGGTGTCTTACCAACCTATTTCGCCTATCACTTATTGACATCCATAGAGTCTTCTGTTCTATTATTTTCAATACCTCTTCGTTTCTAACTTTCTCTATCCGCGGTATCCTCATCATTCGGTTGTAGCATCACATTTCGAACGCTTTTTTCTTCTCCGTCGCGCCCACCGTCCATGTTTCGCATCCGTATAGCGTCACGCTCCAAACATACACCATTAATAATCTTTTTAGAATTTCTAAATTAACCGTTAGCGAGCATAGAAGTGACTTCTTTCTATTGAAGGCGACTCGACCCTGCGCTATCCTCTTCTTTATATCCATACCACTCTTTCCGTCCTGACTTATCTGACTTCCTAGATACTTAAAACTTTTTCTAATTTTTCGTCTTCCCTTGCATACCAGTATTTTGTTATACTTTTATTTATTTTCATACAATACTGTTTTACCAATACCGCTTCTGTTTTATTTAAAGGTGCCTGTAACTCTTTGCTAGATGCTAATACTGCTATGTTATCTGCAAATCAAAACATACTAATACCCGTATATACACTTCAATATATACAATTATTATTTCGCTTATGTTAAAATGAGGACTAAAACGTTTAGTTGTCGGGGATGGTTCTCCTGGTCCATCAGTTGCGTCCTGCCGTGGCTCATTGTAGTTTACCTATTTTCAATAGTGCTTGAACTACTTAATGAGTACCTCCACACTGAAGACCTATCATTCTACTTCTGATTATACTTTAATAAGTGGTACCTCGTGTGGTTTATGACTTTCCTTTTACGATTCAAGCAACGTTTGATTTGATATTGAGTGTCAATTTGTCAAAAAGTCCTTCATTAGGTAGTAGAGATGTTTCAAAATTTTATGACCTATAGAAAGCACAATGAGGTGGATTAACATAGATCTGGCTCAGTAAATATGTTCCATGAAGTTGAAGTATCTATTTATTCAGTTTTTTGTTAATTGAAGTACCTACATTTTACTCCTTCAAATTTTCCTCTACTGTTTTGAAAACTTGAAATGCCATTTAAACAAAGTTTAATCCAAACATTTAGGATTTTGCAGTAGGCATATGTACAACATTTTTTTAAACCGACATAAGAGTTAGGCATCTTCAGATAGGTCAAGCATTCTTCTAAAATATGAAAGCACTTCACTAAGGGCAATAAAAATGAGCATCGTTCAGCTGAAGCTTTTTGTTGTGATAAATGAAAAGTAATAGGCATTATCTCCTTTAAGAATGACCGAAGCATTGACGGAGTGATAATTTTCCAAATAGGTATCGAACTTTTTTTGCACAGGAAACGGTAGGAGCGCAAACGGGAACTCGAAGGCAAGAATCCTTTCCAGCATCAGAGTGGTAGCAAGTTGGATGCGTGGGAGTGCGCACAAGGATTCTAACAATGGACGTAATGTCACTTTTTAACTCCGCCCATTTAAATAGAGCCCGCCCTAATGGGGGGACTGTCCCCCATTGGTTCCCCTCCCGCAGGTTGCTTACAGGCTACAAGCAACATATTCACAATCAGTATCAAATCAGTACTCATTAAATAAACAGTGCAGTGCGTCAGCCTGAAGACCGTTTGAGGCAGCAGTATGCTCAACAATTTGAGCTCTGTCGGTAAGTTAGTGGGGGCTCTAATTGGCGCTAAAGAGTTTAGTGATGCAGCGTAGAACGATAGGCTAGTTAAATAGGCTAAATTGGCGCTGCCTCGCCCTCATTAAGCCAATATTGCCAGCTCGTTCCGGTAGGCTATGCAATTAGGAATACACAAACCGGAACATCACGTCTTCAGTACGTCCGAGGTGTTCGTCATTGAGGGCTGTTTTTTATTTTGCACGCGAGCCCTGACAATATTTTGCAACAAGAACCTCAACCCATCTGAGGATTCTCAGTTTGGTTAGTTGTCAATAACGAATTGGCTCGGTTAATTATTTATTAATAAATTTTATTATGAGCGGTGACAAGTACCGGTGTGCGTCGATCGGTCTCTTTATGTTGCATCAAAGGTTTGCGTTTATATTTTGTTTCTCCTGTTTCGGTTTTCTGGCAAACTTGCGTGTCCGAATCAATTTCATAGATGCCTGATACATCCTGGAGTAAGTACCCATCTTGTACAGCGGTCGTTGTGCCTTTGAAATAATGTTAAGTGATGCGCTGTAATAAATCAACAATATATATATATATATATGTGTTCACTGCAGTGGATTGTAATGCACTTGTCAGTGAGATGACAGTATACTCCTGTATATATGAGCTTTAATATTTAAAATATGGTCGGTACGTATTCCAAAAATAAACAGTGCTATCAGTAGTATAAAAGGATTAGTCGTTGGTGACTTTATAGCATATATTAATTTAATAATCTTCATAATATCTCAACACCTCTTTGTTCTTCTTTCTTCTACTATCCGTCGGTATCGATAGGGTTTATATGTATCTTCGATTTTGGTACGTACCCGGGGCGGAATCAGTTATCTTTCGCATCTCGTTTATTATTACACAGAGATAGAGAAACTAAAACTTTATAACATACCGTAACTTTTCAAGCGTAGCCCTTAAGATATCTTTCATTCTTTTTGATAATATCATTTAAGGAATGGATTTTCTGGGAGTACAGATGTGCATTATTAGTTGTTCTTCTGCAACAGCGTAACATCTAATTTCTTCTTCAGTTTCCTTTGATTAGCTCGTAGATATTTGAATTGAGCATACCAACTCTTCTGTTAAAACTACTATGCCAGCCTTCTACTGAATCAGTGGTTCAATATCACTCTTTGAGTATTACCCATAGTAAATCATTGTCCATCCGTTGTTAAATAAAGTAATCATTGAATTTTTCCACTTATCGGTTATTTGGTATAAAAACAAAATTACGTCCGGATTGCGAAGTATTGGATGTACGTTTTTGCCGACCGTCCGAGTTGCGACGCAAGAATTGAGAAACAACCATATCTTCCATATAGCGCATAGTAACGCAAGAAAAAAGTTTCTTAATTTTTCGGTTGAAAAAATTAATTTAATGGTTTTTGATACTGTTTCAAAATAAATGGTCCAGCAAATCTGAATTTAATTTTCTGTCTGTTGCTGTCTTTGGTTCTCTACTGTCTCGAAATATGTAACAAAAATTGATGGTCTCCAAAGTTCATAAATACATTTCCGACAATTTTAGCTGTACCTACAAATGTCATTTCCTAGGATTATTTTCATATGGAACATATGAACTTTCAGAACCATTGTTTTAAAATCTAAAATGACTTCAAGAGATATACTGGTTATCTAATTATGGACTTTTCTATGTCAATTTTGGATTTACTTCTTGGTAACTTTTTATAGAATTGTCTCTTAAAGTAGATATATTTTGCAGTAGGCATTTTTCAATAGTTACATTGTCTTATGTTGGACTTTTTCAATGTTTCTTTTCTTCTATTTTGTCAGTTGCCTTTTTGTATGTTATAGAAAATTAACTTGCCAACAGAGCATCTGATATTTCGTTAAATTACAACAGTGAGTTGCTTTGTAATGTTCATTTCTGTAAAATGATGTAACCCAAACCTACTAATACTGTGCACTTCAGGGTCATAGTTGAACATATTTTCTAACATAAACAGTTTTTAGTAGGTAGGTCTATTCTTCTGCAGAATATTGTTTACATCATCAGAGGTAATTTGGGAATTTTCTCCGTCGTAACTATTTTTGTAATTACAATTTTTATAACTACAACAATACCTATTTGTATATTTACAGGAGCTTTTAAGTTGCTAATTTTAAAATGTTTTGCATAGGAAGAAAAATGGAGTTTCCATCTCGCATAATTATATGCATACATATAACATTCGTTTAAACACAAAAAATGTAATAGAATATTATTTCCTGTTAGAACGAGCTCATTTAATTTGTTAAGGCGTAGGCGTTAGGTACTTAACTCTTGACATCATTTTATAAATTTTTAATTTAATTTTTTAAATTTTGAATTCCAAACAAGATGATTTTTTGGATAAAGTAAAGCTTAGCTTTGGTATTTTTTTAAAAGAATTTGTAATTTTCCTTTGTAATTGAGTGTTTCTTTTCGATCAAGGGGTAAAAGATATGTGCGGCGAAGATTTAAAGAGGCACCCTGGCGAAATGAAAGTGATAGAGCAACCTCGTCTCAGCAGCCTGTGTGACACGGGATTGCCACCGCTGAACAATTCGTTGGTGAATGCTTCCTCAAACGATGATAAGCCGACGAAGCAAAAAAGGCACAGGACCAGGTTCACGCCAGCTCAACTAAATGAACTTGAAAGATGCTTCTCTAAAACGCATTATCCTGATATTTTCATGCGCGAAGAAATTGCAATGAGAATTGGCCTTACCGAATCTCGAGTACAGGTAAGTTCACATTCCAGTAATATCACATAATGCTAGGACTGCCGCAGGAGTCTAGAACAAGCCTGTTCATGTCTAACGCTTTTTAATAATGGGCGAAATTGGCGGGTCACTGAGTTTTATTTTGTGCAACAAAAAAATCAACATTTTGAAATTTAACTACCGTTTATTAAAATATAATAAATAGTCACTCTACTCCCAAACGGAGAAACAAAGCAATTGGTACAAAGAAAGTGATTTCTGGTATTGTTTTTGATTTAATAATTTTCCTGTGCTACGCGTCATGTCAGATGTTGACACTAATTGTAAGGATAAATCAAATGTTACTTAGAGATACGTGGTATTTATTTTTTACAAAGTTAAGATCTGAAAAACTTTTCATAAACATATGCTGATGCAAAACTACTTAAAAATGAAAGGCTGGGCTAGTTTCCAGAAGTCACCTTCTAATTCTTCAGAAGAAGTTTGTGACTTTCCCACAAAAAGGTTTTTTAGTGCAGAATGATTTTGCAGTTCCAATTGAATATTGGCAGGATAACTAATTATTTCAGTCAAGCTTATCATGAAAGCATTAATAAAAATTTATAAATTTTGTTTTATACTTATTTCAAAGTTCTGTAATTTGTTCTCAAATGACTGTGATAAGTATCTAATTTTGGTTTGGTAATACAGTTTATCGTAGCAATATTAAGCTTTTCTTTCAAATTGGCGAGAATTTTGAAATTGATTCATTCGGGCCATTTACAATTCGTTCACAGGTCACAATGTGATCAAGATCAAGACGAACAAGTTTCTGAGAGCACATATCTCGTTCTTGAGTAAAATGTGTATTAGAAAATTGGTTTTGTTTATAAAGACGATAGTATCGATAGTTATTTTTGTGATGGCAATAACTTTTATTATTATTATTTAAAATCAGCAATTATCGATTTCGAAACCTATTTGAGGTGCAACCCCAGATTTTCTAGGATTGATTAATGATCCTTCTTAAAAGTCGCCTTTTAAAATTACAATATTTTAAAATAATTCATGATTTTATTCACTATTTTAATAGTGAAACAAAATCAAGTGCTTTTATTTCATGAATTATTTGGAATAATGTTTCACCAAGATCTAAGCCAAGTTGCAATTAATACAATATTTTAGTTTCGAATTTAGATGAGTAACTACAATTTTAATTGCGTAAAATAATAGACACAAAAATTATCCATTTTTGACCTTTGATGACCTGCCAGTACAAAGTATAACTACAGCCAAGCGCAATGAGTGAGAAATGATATAGGTTACTTTAACTCATTACATGGGTAAATTAAATTAATATACAAAACCCATTTATTATTAGATATAAGTTAAAAAGTGCCAAACGTAAGTTACCAATGACATCAACATAGAACCTATGCCATTATTTAACTGATACCAAACTGAAATTGCACAACAATATTTATTCACTGGCAAAATGTAGGACTGACAAAGGTCAAATCTTGTATCCTATTATTAGTTTCTTGGTAGTTACTGGGCCGGTTTGGTACTTCCTATACTAGGATTAATCAAAATTGCAACAGAAAAGACCGAAATGTAACAAAATTCTGAGTTTCAACCAATATAAGAAACACTTCCGCTATTTCAAATGTAACCACTATTAAAAAAAAAAGTTCGAGATGCTTTCGCTCACTGGATCTATAACATTTTAGATAAAAAATTTTGACGCAGCTTCTTTACCGACGGCTCAATGTTTATGAGCGTTTATGGCCTTGCTCAGATTTGTGGAAACTGATATTGCTATTGATCATTATCATCATAAGGTCGTCAGTCCTAAGACTGATTGGACACGCACCTCCACTTTTTCCTATCTTGAGCTAATCTTCGAATTTTCCTAAAACTAGAGCAACCCACATCCTTAACTATTTGCGAACAGTAATCTAATCTAGATCTACCCTAACTCCCGTTTCTACCTCTAATATGTCTCTGACTAGACATTTATGCTTGAGAAGGTGTCGTACTAACCTATCTCGCCTATTTTTTATTGACTTCCATAGAGTCCTCTGTTCTCTTAGTCTTTCCTAATACCTCTTCATTTCTAACCTTCTCTATCCACTGTATCATCATCATTCGCCTGTAACGCCACATTTCGAACGCTTGTAACCTTTTCTTTTCCGCCACGCCCATTATCCATGTTTCGCTCCCGTACAGCGCCGTGCTCCAAAGATACACCTTTAACAACCTTTTCGATTTTTTAAATTAACCGTTCGCAAGCATAGAAGTGACTTTTTTTTCATTGGCGATTCGACCTTGCGCTATCCTCTGTTTTATATCCCTAATACTCCTTCTGTCCTGACTTATCTGACTTCCTAGATACCTAAAATCGGCCACTTCTTCTAATTTTTCGTCTCCTATCTTTATATTCGCTCTTTATTGATTTTGATGAAGCTTTAAAAAGTCTATATACTTTAGAAAATACCACAAATGGCGCTGTAAACGCCATCTGTAGCACGATGTTTTATTTTAGGATTACGTATGCTCCAACAAGGTCCACTTGTATGGATAACTACTTGCTGAAACGAATCCCGGCGTAGCTAACCTCAACGTGATAGGCACATTACCATAATCGAATAAAATAATATATAAAAGAAGTGGTCTGTATTCTGTCGAAACTGCCAGACGCGGATCGCGATTTCGATCTTTTTGGATCTTATCAGCGCGTCCCAGACAGCTCCGACAAAACACAGACCAACTTTTAACTGCTGTCTAAACAGCGCGTTTTAGAAAATACCACAAATGGCGTGGTGAGCGCCATGTGTAGTACGATGCTACATTTTAGGATTACGCATGCTCCAACAAGGTCCATTTAAAATATGGATATCTACTTGCTGAAACAAATCCCGGCGTACCTTACCTCAACGTGATAGGCACGTTACCATAATCGAATAAAATAATTCGAAGTGGTCTGTATTCTGTCGAAACTGCCAGACGCGGATCGCGATTTCGATCTTT